TCTCCATCTGCCATGGGATCCATCTTCTTCCATGAGGTAGGGCAAACTTTGATGAAAAGTTTACTGATTATTGATTAATTAGCAAAGTATGAACGGGTACGGGCGATACGTCACGGCTGTGTAGAACACACCTTCGGCTAGCATTGTTCAATGAACAATGCTCTTTAACTGTTAGTACTTGTTGAGAATCAGGATCCGTCTACAAGAAACAGGAATCTTTACATACTTAGGTACAAGCGAGCTAAACAGTTGTCGAGGGCATTGTTCAGGAGAACCAGTAAATCATGAGATCCGAGTAGCGTCATATAATAGTTCTAAGTAGTCCTTAGCTTGGATCCACTCCTTACTATGTACTTGGCAGTTGATCCCATAAAATCATTCTTAGACGTCTACTTACAGGTAGCCCACCTAGTTGGTGTGCCACATCGTCCAGCCAACTATTCGTTATATGTATCGAATTGTGCTTGTAAGCCAAGCAAGAATCGCAGCGACGAATGTCTACGAATTCCGTGAGTAAAATGAAAGTTTTAATAAAAAGTCGATAAACTGTAAAGTAGAGGGTGGCAAAGAACTAAGGACATCAAATGATTTGTGATTACAACGATAACTATACTTGTAAGAAAGGGAAGGAGGTCATTTCAGTGTGAGGGGATCGGAGCAGGACAAACTGGGTCAAGACAAACTTCATTGTCCAGAATTATAACATCCACGGAGACTTTCGTTTTCCCAGATGGCATGCTTCATGGCTAAATCTATGACTTTAGCTTGGCAAATATAAATAAATAATAAACATATGCAAAAATAAACCTATCCCAAATAGGCGTAGTGATACCGGTCTTGGATACGCCATGCTTTTCACTTCTATTCTGAACCATAGTAACATTTGAAAGCTTAACCGATCTGTTGAATGGCATTAAAATAACAGTAGAGTGAATGATCTTCCAGGTCAACTGTTTACCCACGTGGGTCAGAGGATCGACTAACTTTCGAAATTTTCTTCTAAACTGTTTTGTGGCTGAGGATGCAACTAAACGCAGGCAATCTATGCCAATGCCTGAATGAAGGAAAAATAGGGGGGAATGGTCCGCTTTGTGTCGTTGCCCAGTCAATTGCCTTCGATCTTACGGTTTCCCTTCAACTTCTCAGAAGGACGTGAAGGCGATGAGAACGCCTCTTATTTGTGATTGAGGGCCCTTCCTGCCAAATTGCCGAGCCCATTAGTAATTTCAAATGAATTCCCACATAGATTCAAAACTGGGCCCCCACAGCATTCACTCACCGTTCCTGTTTCTGACATGTGTACACACCTCTTTTTGTACCAATGAAAAAAACCCGCGAAAAATTGCCCGTTGTAGCGCCGTCTGTGTCATTAATCTCCTGAACAAATGTATCCTACTGAAGTACCCGCCGTTTTTCCGTAGTAACTGACTACCCCAGTGGTCGGAAGTAATCAATTCTGCTAAATTCAGACACAAACGGTTCGTACGGGCGAAATTTTTCCTCCCTGACACGAGTAATCCTGCAGGAGAGTGTTCCCCGGTTTCACCAGTAACACGATGGCATCTCGGCCTTTATACCTCTCACTAGAAATAGGAAAATGATTTGAGAAAAAACTTTACTAGTAAATTAATAACAAAGACCTGGGTATCCCGTGTAGAGCTCGATCCCATGGGACTTTTATGGGGAATGAGACCTCCTAGCCAGTTCACCAAGTCCTCCTAGATGCTTTAAAGCCTGGGAGCCTTAAGGGCCTTCAGCCCCGCGAACATTCTGCAACTACACGGGTATCGATATATTGTAGGTTCTTCCATATGCTCGAGTGGGGTCTGCGTGTCGGGGAGTATCCAACATAAATGTGATTTTTTAGAAAAAGTAAAATATGTAGGCCATATGAATAACGGGCTATTTTCAGAGGATTCGATCACGATTGTACTGCTCAGCAATTTGTCAATGTGATGTATCAGAAAAAGTGTATGCGAACAGAGCCGCTAGAGTCAATGTAATACTTTGTAATACATAGGTATGATACTTGAAACAAGTAAAATGTAATGCTATTACAGTAGTGAACCAATCTGTGGAAATGGTGTAACCGAGGAGGATGAACAATGTGATTGCGGTCTGCCGGCACAATGTAACAACTGGAACTGTCAACCGGAAACTTGTACCTACCGAATTCAGCCGGTAGTAATTGTAAGTAATTCTTATCAAGTTCTCACCATTGTTGTATCGCTCTGAGCACTACATAGAACAAATGAGTTGGAGAAGGTTCGCTTACAAATGTTCCCCACCCCATTCGGGAAGGTTTGAGTGAGCCTAAAATCATATAGGATATTAGGCTAAGGTAAGATGTGGGAGAGGGTGAAGCGTGGGCGAAACCAGTTAGAGACCCATGAGAGCAGTCGACCACGGGATTATTTTGGAAAGCAATCCTCACCCATATTGGCGAATATGGCCCTTCCGTGGGCTAATGAGGATTCCTCATCCTACGGGTCCCTTCAGGAAAGGTTTAGTCATGGGCGAATTCACGAGAGAATTCGTAATACAGTAGGAATGAAACATGCAGTGCTGTGAAGTCGTTCTGAGGATGTTTTCTTCATGAAAGTAGTAAATCTGTGAATGCAGACTTACTACACTCGTTCTCGATGATGATGAAAGCCACATGACCAGTTTACACTAAGGGTACGCGCCTGTCCCTCTCACATTGCACCTCCAAAACTAGATGCCGCCCTAAGGTGCATTTTCAGTCCAGACATTTTCCCTCTTCACCTTACTACTTATTACTTATACACTACTACTTTCATCCCTTTCGTATTCATTAAAGTATTTGTTCAACTTAAGCAGCATTCTGTTCTTGAGGTGATAGCAAACATGCTGCCAAAAATATTGGTAGTAAAAGTACGAATTTGTGAAAATTTTGAGGTCCCAGCTGTTTACATTTACAATCCGAATGGCAGTAAACCAAGTTCAATATAGTATATCATAATTCTTCCTTTCCTTGAATACGGGAACAATTTCACTTCATTTTATGGTCACTACTCATAATAAATGTACTAACTGATAATAAATGTAACGACAGTTTGTTTCGTGAGAATAGTGGCATTTCGATCCTAACTGATAAATAGTGGCGATAATTCGTGATAATTTAATTAATGAATTTATCTATCCATTTGCCCTTTCCAAGAGGATCCCAAATAAACACGAGCAATCAACTTACCATGAAACTTAGGTTAGGACATAATATTGTTTGTCATGAACTGAAATGTCATCATAAGTGATAAGGGCTGATAAAGTGTGATAGATCGATAATGCATGCAACAGCTGATGCCAGCAATTTGTGGGAATCTTCCAATGTAGATTTATGATCGTCTGCTAAACATGCTGTCTGGCTGGCCAACTTTTCTCCAGGGTCAGCTAAACAAACTCCTCATTTTGTTCAGTGTTTTCACGTTACTCTGGATATTTTTGAAGGCAATGACCACGATGTAAATAGGGCTCAGCGGTGTGCTGTGTAAAATGAAAGCGGAGTGTGACATTGTCATCAAAGAACAAAGAAAACCACCCGAATATCCCCGCTAGGACGGCAAAGTCACCACCATAACACCCGTGAAGTTTGTAGGATGGGCGGGTGGCACCCCGCTCTTTCCTCCCAGTCAACCGGTTACTTTCCTAAGTGATGCCTCATTGATAATGATATGGGGTTTGCATTAGGCTTCTATTAATTAACAGCTAAATTTTAATATCACTACTAGTATTATTTATTATTAACCCGAATTTTTTGAAGCCATATTTTCCACTCGACCTCCTCCGTTAATTTGGATTCTGTACTCATTTTTGTTGATACTGCTCTGTTCTACCTCGTAAAATGTTGTTGTAAGATGTTGTAAAATTGTAAAAAGTGGTAAAACAATTAGCATTATGCGCATTTTCGTTATAGAACCTGGCCACATATATTTGTAGCCCAAAGGAGAGTTTCAAAAATGGAAATACTGAAGAAAACAAGTTTTTTTTTTCAAAAGTTCTGACAGTAGAATGAAATCCTGTACCATTTTAGTACGTAGTATAGAGTTATCGGTCAAAGTAGATCATCAGGATGTAAGTCGATATTAAATTATCATTACTTACCAGAGTACCACCATTTATCTCAGACTATTACGTGCTTATTACAAAATGTTGCTGAATGAACATCTGTGAGCTCCATACGATCTGGCGTTCAACAAAGTTAAAGCTCACGATAAAAGAGCCTTGCGCCAGTGGCGATTCGCTGAATGTTTTCTACGTGTTTTCAATATATCGATCCTTATTGATCGCTCCTTTCAGTGGCTATTTGGCGTCGGCTTTATCTCAGTTTCGGCTACTATATTAGCCGTGGTTCTGCGATACAGAGGCACAATGTTGAACTGCTTCAAAGTTCACAAGGAACGTGACTTGAATTTCCGTCATGCTCGAATTCGTGCTCTCAGTTCAAGCCCATATCAATCTCGTAAACGTAGCACAGTTACGGTAGGTTGATTGTTCTCATTGTTCTTTTATTTACATTATACTCAACCATAACAGAGGGTACGTACTCCATTCCACTCGGAAGGGGGTTTTATTTAGGCCAACAGTCCTTTGATCGTCTCTGCTCATAAGAAGTTGCAAAGCTTTCTTTACAACAGTTAGGTGTAAACTGCCCTTCTTCTCGACAAGTAGGTATCATGTCTGGGCGAAAGGTACATAGTGAAACTTGAGATGACAATTCTAGAGTAGTGATTACTAGTTGACCCGTGGATTGCGGTAACAAATATTTGTCAGGTCCCTGAACACTGCCTTTTTGAGCCCGTGGAAAATAAATTTACTGGAAACCAGTTCAATTTCATATCTGTAACTTGTAATCATTTACAGGTTACAACTGGGACATCGACTCCAAGCTCTGTGCCTCATAGTACAACATTGCAACGACCAAAGCAACCTCCACCTCCACCACCGTAAGACCTTTCGGTTTTTTCACTTATTAATTTTGCTGTAATTGAAGTAACTTGTAATTACTTCAGTATAAAAGCTTCGATTGCCGTTGACCCTGGGACATCCTACGCTCGGCAAATTAGCAATCGAGATGACATTTCATGGAAATTTGAGGAATTTGACTCGGGTACGTTCTCATTCCTCTGTCCAGGTGGGTTTTCAACTTTCATCGGCTATTTTCAGAAGACGAGGATTCGAGCAATCAGAAAACGAACTTCTCATCATATCCAGGACAGCCGGGTGTACCCACATGTCCAAGCTATCCATCATTTGTGCCAATAAACAGGGTGACGGTGAGGTTTCTGATCTTTGAAGTGCTGAAACCACTGAAACCTTGGACTTTCTAAAACCCTTGATTTTCAGGTGGCCTTCCATGGCTCAGGTGCTACCATGGACACATTATGCACTTCCAGTGGAGATTCATCATCAAGTGCTGCATCTCTTTGAGCTTATGCGAAAACTTTCTCTGCAAACAACTATTTATTGATTTTTCGACCAATCAATTCATCGGAAACTGTAAACAAGCAAGTACAGAAATGGCAGAAACATGAATTTCAGCATCATTTCCGTAATCATTCAAGTCCTGTCTCAAATTGCAATGCTTTGGCTCGTTGAATTGAACGTTTTTTTCTTTGAGGGAAGCCATTTTTTATGGTCCTTTTAGAACATCTACTCTATCCCTCTGATCACTCAACTTTTTATAATTCATTTGTTTTATATAGGATTCTAATTTTTAAGCTTTTGTTTTAGGGCAACATCAATTTTTTAGAAAAATTTTTTAATAGCATTCAAGAAGTTTATAGAACATTTTTTATCACATATCTTTCAGGGTATTTTAATTTATCATTATTTATCCTATCAAAAAAGCTTTTACAACTTTATCTCTTTTTACTTCTCAAAATTCAATTCAACTGCCACGTCAGTACTTCTGCCAAAGGCATTGCCACTATTCTCATTAGGTACAAGGTTTTACTCAACTCTTCACTTATTACGTTCGCGATACTGCTGCTACAACATCTTCAAGCAGTAATTTAAAAGTAAAAAAAAAGGAAAAAATAGTAATGGGGAACGATTGGAAACTGTGCTTTTTCACAAGCGGGTTAGTTCGTGTGTCAATAATTTTCAATTTTCCTAGTGTAGAACGACAGGCGACAACGAAAATTTGATCTACAATTTATGATAATGATATTTGTAAAAAACTCCGATTTTTTTTCAAAACGTATGTCTATGCGATCTTTTATAGTTTATAAACATTTATTTGGACTACTTTGAAAATCTAATCAACATTTTTAATGTTATAACAACTCTTTACAGAGGAGTAAGATCAAATTCGTACAGTGATGTTTTTGTTGATTCGAATTGTTCCAATTTCACATATTTATATTGTGTCATTCATCTCTTGTCATTCATCACCAATTATTTGTTTAATATTGATCGATTGCTATGATGGTTTGTGAATAAACTTTGATATTTTTAGTATTCCGAGTATTTTTGGTAATTTCATAATTTAAAAAAAACAAAAGATTATTACACCTAGAAAACTGCAAGCAAATACTTCGCTCGAGAACCGTCATATCTTCAACCAGCTTGATGTACTAGGATAACAAGTGATAATGAGTGATAATGGGTGGTAACAATCATTATGTGGTGATACTCTGCTACTGAAAGTTACCGAAATGAATCTCGATTATACCTTCCTTACCAACGAAATATTCAAGTAAATTATCAAATTTCAACGAAAGAGATAGGTGTTAGGGATTGAAACTTCCATTTCTTACTACGAACTGCAATTTGGGAGAGGGGTCATGGTAAGAGCAGCTGTTGTGGAGTGAAAGGGGATGCACCTTGATCAGCGTTCTCGATTTTATAATTTTTGATATTCCCTGGCAGTCTTAATACGATAACAGTGGCAACCATGAAAGCGATCTGCTGGGGACATCTATTTGCTAGTCCACCTCTCTCCCTGCCCCGCTTATAGATGTCCAGAGTACAACTAAGTACAAGTGTTTTATGAGGATTTATGAGTTTTCAAAGTACAATGTAGAAGTCTATTGGTGAGAATATCGACTTCAAAAAGTTGCTTTGAATAATGAATTCAGCTTAGAAGTGAGAGGTAGACGCAGTTACCTGGGAAGCTTGCTTTGAATCATGAATTCAGCTTAGAAGTGAGAGGAGACGCAGTTACCTGGGAAGCAAGTGTAGCTCTCTGTCTGCCACTGTCTCTGGCGGCTGTC